CCATAATACTGAATCTGTCCAAGGGATGCATGGATGGTTCAACATTCTATAAATTAATAAACATAATATATAACATTGACAACTGAAACATAAAACTACATAAAAGATCACCTCAATAGATGCAAAACAAAAGCCTTTGACAAAATTCAACATCCTTTATAAAACTTTGAGCAAGTCAGATATAGAATGATCATACCTCAACACAATAACACACAGTCAACATCTAAGATTAGGAAAAAGGGTGTCCATCCTCACCATTCTTATTTAACAGGGTAATACAATGTTTACCCCCAGAGCACTCAGACAGGGCATAAAAGTAAAAGACAAATAATTAGGAAGGGAAAATTATCGCTGTCTTCAGTGATATGATTCTGTAACTAGAAAACCTAAAGTGTCGACCAAAAGATTAAAACTGATAAATTTTGTAAAGGACATAGAATCAGCATACAAAAATCATCCACTTTTGTATACACCAATAATACATTTAGTAAAAGAAATCATGAAAGCAATGATCTCATTCCTAAAAATTACAACACAAAAACCCTAGAAATAATATACATCTATTTTTAATCATAAAAAAGAACTTGCAGCAAAATGGACAGAAATGAATGACATTATGCTAAGTAAAATAAGCCAAATACAAGGGCCAGTCAATAGCTTAGTAGATTAAAGTGGATGGCAGGTACAGGGGTAGGGGTTCAATTCCCAAGGCCTGCTGTTCCAGCCCTATCTCCAGAGCATAAGACGGCAATTGAGACTGGGCGTGGGGGTGTGCACCTGTAATCCCAGCTCTTGGGAGGCTGTAAACAGGTAGATCACTACAAGTCTGATCTAGTAGTGAGACCCTGAACATCCTGTAGGTCCATCCCTAAAATAACCCAAACACAGGAAGTGAAACCATTGAATCAAAAGATGTCAAAGAGCTCTACAATAAAAATTACAAAAGAAACTGTAAAATACACCAAAAATTTAAAGACTGTTCATCTTTATGGTTTAGAAGAACTGATGTTGTTAAAATATCCATACTTTCCAAAGAGATAACACAGATGCAATGCAGTCCCCATCCAAATACCAACGACATTCTTTATAACTAGAAAACTTTAAAGTTAATATAAAAACACAAAGACCATGAATAACCAAAGAAATCTTGAACAAAAAGGAAAAGCAGGAGGCATCATAATACCTGACTTCAAGTCATATTAAGAGTCACAGTACAGGCCCAGCCAGATAGCTCATTAAAGTGCCAGAGGGGCAGGGAACAGGGTTCAAACCGCAGCATGCCATGCCAACCCCGTCCCCAGGGCATGCTGAGATGGCAAATGAGACTGGGTGTGGTGGTGCAGGCCTGTAATCCCAGCGCTTGGGAGGCTGAAAACAAGAGGATCACTGCGAGTCTGATAAGAATAAAAAAAGTCACAGTAATCAAAACAACATGGTACTGGCATAAAAACACACTAACCAGAGCCAACAAGATAGCTCAGAGGTCTAAAGTGCCTGCTTAGGCAAGTTTAGGCAAGTGTAGGGACCACAGTTTAATGGTGGTGCCACAAAAAATACCAAACATGGAACAGAACAGAGATCCTAGAAGTAAACTCATGTACCCACCACATGCATAGCTGGCCACCAAGATGGGGCATGGTGGAGCATGTCTGTAATCCCAGCCCTGGAGAGACTGAAAACGGGGAGAGCTAGAGTCTGAGCTGCGTAGTGAGACACTGTACCAAATACATTAAAAAATTAAAAAAACCAAACCATAAATGCCTAATTCTTAATAAATGCACCGAAGACATCCAAGAAAAGACAGCCCTTTAATAAATGGTGCTGGGGAAGTTGGATAATCACATGCAGATGAACCAGGACCCATACCTCTCACCCACTTCAAAAATGAACTCAGAAGGGGCCGGGGAGATGGTTCAGTGGAATAAGCACCACCCTGGCAAGCTCAAGGGCCTGAGTTCAATCCCTGGTTCTGCCAAAGAACTCAGAATAGATCAAAGACTGAAATATAAGACCTGAAAGTCTGAAGCTACTTCACATGGAGGAAACACTTCAAGACACTGATACATGCAGTGATTTTTCTGAACAGAACCTTAAAAGCATACAAAAAAAAGAGCAAAATTGATAAATGTGACTATATCAAACTAAAAACCTTCTTCACAGCAAGCAAAATATCCAACAGAGTAAAGACATAACCTATGGGATGAGAGAAGATATCTGCCAAGTATTCTGACAGACTGCTGATACTCAGAATATATAAAGAACTCAAAAAACTTAACAAAAAAACCCAAGTAGTCCAGACAGGGTGCTGTAGCTAAGTGGTAGAGCATATACCTAGTGTGTTTGAGACTGGATTCAATCCTCAATAACATTACCACCAAATCAATAACAGAAACAAAACACATACATACAAATCTCATTTTAAAATGGGCAAGTGGTCCGAACAGATGCTTCTCCAAAGAAGAAACACTAATGACCACCACATACATAAAAAAATGCTCCCGCAATACCATCAGGATCAGAGAAATGCAAAATCAAAACTACAACGGAATACTATCTTGCCCCAGTTAGAATGGCTAATATACAAACAAAACAACACCAAGGCTGGCAAAAATATATAGTAAAAACAAAACAAACAAACTCTTATACATTGTTGGTGAGAATGTAAACGAGTACAGCCATTATGGAGAACAGAATGAGAGGTCCTTAGGAAAATAGATGTTAGCAGATGTTTCCAGTTCCACCAAAAAAAAAAAAAAGATGTTAGCAGATGATTCAGCTCCTCCACCTCTGGATACATTATCTAAAGAAAATGAAATCAGCACATCAAAGAGATAGCTATATACCCATGTTTACAGTGGTAATATACCCCAGAACCAAGATACAGAATCAGCCTAGGTGCCCATCAATGGATAAAGAAAATAGGAGAGGAATAAAATTCTGTAATTTGCAGCAAAATGCTTGAAACTAGAGGACATTACATTAAATGAAATAAGCTAGATATAGAAAGGTAGGTACTACATGCTTTCTTTTATATGTGGAAGCTAAAAAATGACCTGAAAGCAAGATAGGAAAGGTATGGGTTTGGGCTGAAAAACGAGTAGCTGTATTTCATAAGTACCCATCACTGCATCCCACTAATTTGAAAGTAATACATAGTAATAAAAATAAAGTTAAATGTGCCAGGTGTGGTGTCACATGCTTATAATCCCAGCACTTGGGAGGCTGAGACAGGAGGATCACTGAAAGTTTGAGACCAGTCTGAGCTACAAAGTAAGCTGAAGGTCAGCCTAAAATGCATAGTTAGACCCTGTCTGAAAAAGACAAATTAATTTGAGTTTATCATAAAAAATTTTAAAAGAAATTAAGAAATCAAGGGGCTGTAAATGAAGACATTATCATTTTAAACCCATTAGATGGGCAAACATATATACACATATATATTATATATATATAAAAGTATATGATATATACATATATGATATATACACATGCATATGTGATATACATATATCATACGTGCACATATGTATTTATATATATATTTTTTAATTTTAGGGAAGGGTCTATAGGATGTTCAGGTCTCACTACTAGATCAGACTCGTAGTGATCCACCTGTTTACAGCCTCCCAAGAGTTGGGATTACAGGTGCACGCCACCTCGCCCACTCTCAACTACCATCTCAGAAAGCCCTGGGGATGGGCACAGCATGGGCGGGCCCAGGGAATTGAACCCGTCCCTGCGCCTGCTTGTAGGCACTTTAATCCACTGAGCTATTTAGCCAGCCCTAGATTGGCAAATATTAAGAAATGTACCAACCAATGAAAAGATACACCGGGCTGGTGAGATGGCTCAGTGGTCTAAAGCATCTACTTAGAACAAGCTTAGCAAAGCACAGGGACTGCGGTTCGATCCCCCAGCACCACATGCCAGCCAGCCCCGCCCCCTGGTGGGCTGAGCTGGCCACACACACACACACACAAACAAATAAATAAATAAATAAAATTTAAAAAAAAAGAAAGAAAAGATACACCAATGAGAACCCTTGTGATGTAAGTCAGTGTTTTTGGAAAACAAGATTCAATGGAACTGAACATACTGTGTGACCTAGTGCCACGTTTATAAATTTATTATTATACCTGTGCTTCAAAAGATAGGACAAGAAATGTTCCTGGAGGCAAGACTATTTTACTAAGGCTTAGAAAAAAACTCTAAATGTCCAACTATTGAAGAATGGATACTGGTGGTGTGTTCTTAAAAAATTCTAGGGGCTAGGGAAATAGCTCGGTGGTCTAAGTGCCTGCCAGGCAAGTGCAAGCACCTGGGTTCAACCCCCAGCACTGCATGCCATGCCAGTCCCAAAACCAGGCAGTGGTGGCACACACCCGGGATCCCAACACTGGGGAAGCTGAGATAGGACGATCACTATGAGTCTAAGCTGCATAGCAAGACCCTATGTCAAATAAATAAAAAAAGAAAATTTTAAAAAATTATATATAGCAGTGCAACTGCTTCTCGGCCTTTTGGCTAAGATCAAGTGTATATATAGCAGTGCAAATGAAGTAACTATAGCTATAACCAATATAAATAGAAATAAAACAAAAAGGCAAATCTTAGATGAGTATTCAGAACCCCATTTTTAAAAAACTGGAAACCCAACATAAATATAATCCACCATTTTTTAAAAAGTAAACAACAATCTCTGTCATAATTACAGCAGGCAAAGATGACTGAAGGTTAAAGCAAGTGAAAAAACTAAATTGGAGGCCAGTTAGTTATAATGGTAGACTTGGGTAGACTAGGGGAAGCTGGTATTCTGAGTCCTCCTTAATATGCTTTATAACTCTATACTTTAAGTAAATATATGTATGGATATATGCATATATTTCACCGTTCTATGCTATGTATGAACTAGCACATTAAGAAATAGGAAAACATGACTAAAATATGCCAGCCGGTATTCAATGCAATGAGTACTAAGTCCCCATCCTAATAATACTTACTGGTCAAGGGTCTTATAATAAATGTCCAGATCCTTGTTCACAAGCTCCGTTGTTCTCATAACAATCATCATTTCTCTGTATTTCTCTTCAGCATCCCAAAACTGAGGTTCTCGGAGTTCTTTCTTAAAACGAATAATTTCTTCCTCATACCCTTTCTGTCGCCCCAATGCCAAATCACGATTTCTTTTTATATCATCTATGTTCACTTTTAACGTCTGATGTTCACTGCAAAGGGGGAAAATGACAAATGAGGACCACTGGTTAGCTGTTATGAAGCCAAAGTGGAAAAGTCACAGAATCTTTAGATAGGTGTTCTTCTTCCTAGCAATCAGTACACGATAAGAGGGTCTTTCCTTGCTTCTAAGGCTTTGGTACTAAAATAAGTCTCAATTTCTGCAGCATGTAGGTTTCTGAACAATTTTGTTTTGTTTTTGTTTTCTTTTGTTTTGTTTGCGGAACCGGGGACTGAACTCAGGCCCTCGTGCTTGCCAGGGAAGTGCTTACTCCACTGAGCCATCTCGCCGGCCCCATTTTTTTGTATTTAGTACAGGGTCTACAGAGTCTCACTACACAGATGAGACTCACAATGATCCTCCTGTGTAGGCCTCCCAAGCAATGGGATTACAGGCATGCGCCATCATGTGCAGTCTCTGAACAACTAACCTTTTTAAGCTAGCTAACCCTCATACTCTGCGAGACCTATGAAAGGTGCTAGCTTTAAGACACTGATTAACCTAAGTAAAGCACAGATAGGTATTAACACTACAAATTCACGAACTTGGTGCAGTCACCAACACTGAGGGGTATTGCATAACATGTTTTTTGCTTACAATATGTAAAATATAAACTTTTATTTGAACTAAATGTAAGATGGGCTAGCCAAATAGCTCAGAGGGGGTCTGGGGAGATGGCTCAGTAGAGTAAGTGCTTGCCTGGCAAGCATAAGGGACTGAGTTCAATCCCTGGTTCCGTCAAAAAAAAAAACAAACAAAAAGACAATGGCTGACTTCAAATAGCTCAGAGGATTAAGGTGCCTGCAAGCAGGTGCAGGGGCCTGGGGTTCTATCCCCAGGCCTGCTGTTCCAGCCCCGCCTCCGGGGTTTCTGAGATGGCAACTGAGACTGGGCATGGTGGCGTGCACCTGTAATCCCAGCTCTTGGGAGGCTGTAAACAGGTGGATGGATCACTATGAGTCCAATCTAAAAGTGAGACCCCGAACACCCTGTAGATCCTTCCCTAAAAATACAAAAAGAACTAAATATGAGTACAGTATTTGTTTAAAAATTTGGACTCTTGTATGAAAATAAAAGTTCTCTTGCACAAGCATAAAAAACCATAATGACTAAGAAATAAACACTCACTTTTCTGCTAACTTGACAGATTACTCAGACTCTATGTTTTGTGAATCTTCATTTAGCAATCACTTCCTAAGCATCTTACATCCTAGACAGTGCTTGTAAGGTTATGAACATTCTTATACATTTGAGCTGTTACATTCTAGTTGAAGAGAAGTTTGAAAAAGAACAGATACACTCATCCATTCTGAATGGATGTAAAAAGCACTTTTTAGTACTAACTATAAAATAAAATTTTAAATCTGTGGTTTGGTCTTTAGCAGCAAAGAATAAATGCCAAAGTTTTTTCTTAGAATAGTGCTTCTCCAACTTCTGGGAGAGGCTACTGACAGGAAGAGGAGTCACCATTCTTGCTTTCACCCTGACTTCCTCTGATTTTTCTAGGTTTCACGTCCAATTGTCTAAAAAATGAAAAGGCTGAAGATGGCACACTCTTCTAGTGACCAAGTATGATTTCCTTTACATATGGAAGAAATTTTGGAAAGCTAAACCAACATTATTACAATAATACAGATTAACCATTTCTTCAGTTTTACACATCAAATTAAAGCTTCATTTTAAGTATATCTTTAAGAAAATCTTAGGCATTTTTTGATCCAGATTTATTTTTTCAATCTTATTTATTTGCTACGGATAACCACTAAGAAGATAACCATGTACAATGTATTAATTATTGAAACTGTCCTATTAATCAGTTTTGAAACTGTCTCATTGATATTTGTTTCTCAATAAAATAAAATAAAATAAAATTTCTTTATTTGGTAGGCATAAGATCTCTCCACAAGCAGCTCAGACTCTCAGCCTCCCCAGCCCTGGGATTACAAGTATGGCCATCACGCCAGGGGCTGTGAGGCCAGCGCAGCATGCGGTACCGCAGATCGAACTCAGGTCCCTGTGCTTGCCAGGCAGGTGCTTAGACTGCTGATCTATCTCACCAGCCCTAACCCAGATTTCTGTATAAATTCAAAAAGAGCAATAAAAAATTCAGAAGGAACGGCTGAATGAGATCTGGACTGAACCAGGTGAGGTGGCTTATTATCTAAGTGTCTGGTTAGTACACCTTTTATTCTAGCCAAGACACTCAACATCAGCAGCTTCTCACAGAACTCCTAAGGTATCTAAGACAGGAACAAAACCTTTTCTGCTGTACTAAGAAGGTAGAAAGTACAGTAAATACCAATAAGACTGGATGAAGGAACAATCTGGCTAATCTTTACCCCACCTCACACTCCCCCCCCCAAAAAAAAAAGTTTTCATTGTTACAAAATCACAACTGGGCCAATCTAGAGTGAGTTTCCTCTGGCAAACTGCTATCGGCAACTCTAAACGGTGTGCAAGCTCTGGTGCAGGACAGGCTCATGGCTATAAATTCTTTTGTGATCAGCACACTATTCTGTGCACTGGGCCACAAGTCTGGGGACCTGGCATATTTAATATGGAATAAAAGCTGGGCATGGTGGCACAAGCCTGTTATCACTGTACTCCACAGGCTGAGGCAGGAAGATCACTATAAGTACAAGGCCAGCATGAACTACATAGCAAGACCCTGTCTCAAAAACCAAAACTCCCTAATAATAAATAATTACTGCCCATCACTCAGGTGATCATCAATTTAATGTCACTTCTTCAGCATTTCAATTTTTAAGACTACAAAATATATCTACCAATATATCTGCCTATCTGTTCACCTTCCTGTAAGTCTTAAGGGCTACTAACCTGCAGCCTATTCTATAAAGAAGAAATTTGGCATTCTCACATTTATAATAAAGATTCTTAAAATAAGGACATACTTTTTCATCTGCAAAACCTGCATTTGACCCATTTCCTTCAAATGTTGTTTCCTTTCTTCTTCAACTTCCTTCAGTTCCTCATTTCTTTTTCTTAAAGTAAGGTTATCCTGTAGCCACCTTTCTTGTATCTAAATGTAAGTAATAAATCAGTTAACAAAAATAACCAAATTACCAACACAAGACCCACACCAGGCAAGTGCTGACAGGCAGTGCTAATTCTGCCTGACTGCGCATCATGTTAAATTGCACGCAGAGAGAATGAAGCACAATGGCCTTCACGTAACCAGCTGCAGGCGGGACACCTCCTAATGAGCAGTTTTTGCTGCTGGTGTAAAAACCACACCTTCTGTTTAACGGGTAGGTGAGTGGAGGTTCCCAAAATAAATTATTCATAAATGTACTGTTGTAATGGTTGATACATTGTGTCAACTTGGCCAGATGACTCCTTGGCCCAGTTCTGGCTGGTGGGGGTCCCGCCCTGGGGTACAACTGGTTCTGCCCCCAGAGTGACTAAGCACCAAGAGACCATATAAAGGGGTTGAGGAAGCAGTCAGTCTTCATATTCAGCTTGGGCTTCATGGCCTGGCTTGCAGCGCCGACTCTTTGGCCTCCGGCTTGGATCCTTCGCCTTCCGTCGCAGACCCATTAGCTGATGAAGAGAGACTTGCACGGAGCACAGCAGTGAGCTTCAGACCTCGGGGCTGAATTCCTCAGTCTGGGGTGTGCAGACACTCTCTGCACACTCCCCCATTTGACTCTGTGGCTGACTGTCCTAAGCCAATCCTGTAATTCCTTATACATTGTATACCTTGTGTTAATACCTGTTCCTTATATTAATCTGTTCCTCTAAGTAAAACCCTGACCAATACAACTGTTATGTACTTATTTACTATTTCATAAAGTTTTAAAGTGCTTAGTAAAAGCTCTAGAAAATATGTTCACTATTAAACATTCACATAAAACTGAATTTTTTTTTTTTTTTTTTTTCGGTACCGGTGATTGAACTCAGGACCTTGCACTTGCCAGGCAAGCACTTATTCTACTGAGCTATCTCCCCAGCCCAAAACTAAAATTTTAAATGGTAAAATAAAAGCATTTGCTCTGTGCCCCTGAAACAGGTACTTTCCTCCTCTTGCGCTTGGGCACTGACTGAAACTCTAGGTGCTGTGGCCTTGGGAATCCAGGACACAGACCAGCGGCCTCCCAGATTCTCAGGTCTTCAACCCACAGTGAAAGTTACATCACCGCCCTCTCCGACTCTGAAGACTTGGCCAGGGTCATGCACCTGGCACCCAGAATACGAAGCTTGCAGACAGCTTCTGCAGGATGTCTCACCCTCCGTAACTGCAGACACCACTGGCTCTAAGAAATCTCCTCGTAGATATCTTTGTGTCTTCCTGAGGCCAATCAATTCTGGAAATACCCTCATACTCGAAGCAGCATTTTACCGAGTCTCTAGATTTTCCTCAGTTCAGCCAAGAGGATTCCTACATATGACTACTCTACCTCAAGTTAGCCCCAGGGCTAGCCAAATAGCTCAAAGGATTAAAGTGCCTACAAGCAGGTGCAGGGGCTCCTGTTGTTAAATCCCCGGGCCTGCCATGCTGGTCCCGCCCCCAGGGCACGCTAAGCCAGCAATTGAGACTGGGTGTGGTGGTGCGCCTGTAATACCAGCTCTTGGAAGGCTGTAAACAGGTGGATCACTAGAGTCTGATCTAGTAGTGAGAACCTGAACACCCTGTAGACCCTTCCCTAAAAAATAAAAAAAAATTTAAAAAATCAAGTTAGCACCCAAGAGTATCTTCTTAACAACAGTTAATTCCCCAATAAACACAATGTCCTACATATGCCAGAAAACTCCCTAATCCCTTCCCCAAAGGGGAGATGAAGTTCTTGGATAATGTTTATTTTTCTTTTGATATGCATATAACTTAAATATAATGTAAAATTAACAATAAGGTCATCTAGGGCTGGCCAAATAGCTCAGCAGATTAAAGCACCTGCAAGCAGGCACAGGTGCCAGGGATTCAATTCCCAGGCCCGGGGCGTGCTGAAATGGCAATTGAGACTGGACATGGTAGTGCTTGCCTGTAATCCCAGCTCTTGGGAAGATGTAAAAAGACAAATCACTATGAGTCCAATCTAGTAGTAAGACCCTGAACACCCTGTAGACCTTTCCCTAAAATAAAAAAAGGCCATCTAATACTACACTAGTTTTCCATCAGTGATGGACCGCCTATACAACAGTGACCCCACTAGGTTGCACCTCGTCATGATGATGCAGCCATCTTAGTTTGTGCAAGTTCACCATGATGTATTGTTGAGCAATGCTGGACCATCTACAAATATCCAAATGTATTCTTACAAAACAGGGACAAAATACTCATGAAAATTAAAGTCCTTAGCATGTGGTCATAACTGGTATTCGTAACTACCTTTCTGTACTACCCACTCTGTATTCTATCTGCATTCAGTAGGCACCTCAGCTAGTCACAATTCTTTACCTGGCGTGGTGATCCAAACCTTCATTTTTGAAGGATCTGGGTCATTTGTAGTGTGCCTGGATGGGGTTGCTCTAACTTTGCATTTGACCTTCATCACATGCCATGGTAACGTTAAAAGAACAAACGTTAAAAGTTTCTCTTGTCTTCCAGACATACTCTTTCCATTGTAAAACAGCCCAATTTCCCTTTGGCAGTGTGAATCAATCACCTTCCTGTAACTCCCCTGTTGGTTGAGTAAGCAACATACGGAGCTCAAGTAGATGAATATTCACTTGAACTTCCAGTTCAATGGGAATCATTGTTTTGTCTCCTGGTAATAGCATTTCTCTCTCTGCAACTAAGTCTGGTAAGCAAGATGTTGCAGTTTGTGTCTAGTTGCCCCCCAAAGCCTCATGCAGTCACTGAGGAAGGCTTCTAGAGTTTGTGATTAATTCATGATCCAACATTGGGATTATGGGTGTGAGTGCTATACCCGTCCTAGGGCGGATAGCTTGAACACAATGTGGGGAAAAGAGAGAGGCTTACACACAGCTGCTGCTCCTCTCTTTGCTCTTTTCCGTGGCCACAAATGGCTGCCCTTCGCCCTGTGCCATGCTGCCTTGGAGCCAGCAGAGGATAGACTGAAACATCCACTAACTGTAAACTAAACAAACCTTTCGTTCTTTAATTTTGGGTGTTGGGTATTTTGTCTCAGCCAAGAGAAAAGTAATTGATACACCAGAAGAGCACAAACTCATGGTAAGTGAAGGAAAAGTGTTGCCTGTGGGTCACCAGGATTTAACTGTAAGGAGTGAACTTACATTTCCACCTCTTGATTCTGGGACCATGAATCCCAGCTAAAGTAAGAACAGTTATACATACTGGTCAGTGATTCCTATTTTTCTTACAGGTAACTTTTAAGAATATCTTAGACTACAACCCCTTTTCTGTGAATTTATTCTACATAAAGATATGTGAGGGGCTGGGGAGATGGCTCAGTAGAATAAGCACTTGCCTGGCAAGCTCAAGGGCCTGAGTTCAATCCCCAGTTCCGCCGAAAAAAAAAAAAAAGTGAGGGTAAGGAAACAGTAATAGATACAAAAGGATATTCACTGCCATATAATCCACATGAGGAAAAAAACATCAACGTACATAAGTTATACAATTTTTGAAAAGAAGAAAATATCTGTGAGCTAGTATGTGTGATCAAGTTATGTGCAAAATGGTACAGAATAATGTAAGTGCTATGATCCTGTATGTAAATTTAAATATTATTCAAATAAATCTCAACTTACCTATCTGTTGACATATAAATAAAATCTTATTTGACAACAAATAAGAATAAACTCAGCACTTCAGTAGGCTAAGGGAGGAGGATAGACAAGTTTGAGTCTAGCTTATGCATCTTAGTTTTGGGGAATTATTTTGGTTTGCTTTGTTTTTTCAATTTTTTGAGACAGGGTCACACGATGTAGTTTAAGTTGCTTTTCAATTCACTATGTAGTCCAGATTGGCCTCAGACTTGTAGCAATCCTACCTCAGCCTCCGAGTGCCGGGAATATAGGTGTATGCCACCACATCCAGCTCATCCTGCTGATCTTAGGGACAGTGTGTCTCAAAATAAAAAATAAAAAGTGGGCTTGAATGCAGCTCAACACCCACAGGTTAGATCCCTTAGTACTGCAAATAAAACACAACAAAAGAACACCATAACAAAAGAAAAACTGTAACAGAAATGACATCGAAGGGCTGGCAAGATAGCTCAGCAAAATAAGCTCCTGCATAGGCAAACACTGGGGCCGAGGTTCAATCCCTGGTACAGCACACCACACCGGCCCCCTCCTGGGGCGCACTGAGCCAGCAACAGAGTCCAGGCATGGTGGTGCACACCTGTAATGTCAGGGATAGGGAGGCTGAAAACAGGAGGATCACTACGAGTCTGAGCTGCCTAATGAGACCCTGTACCAAACACATAAAATTGGGCCCGGCAAATAGCTCAGCGGATTAAAGTGCTTGCAAGCAGGCTCAGGGGCCCAGGGTTTGATCCCAGGCCTGCCTGCCGGCCCCACCTCCAGGGTACTCTGGGCATGGTGGTGCACGCCTATAATCCCAGATCTTGGGAGGCTGTAAACAGACGGATCACAGCAAGTCCAATCTAGGAGTGAGACCCTGAACACCCTGTAGACCCTTCCCTAAAATACAGAAAAAAAATAAACACACACATACACACACACACAATTAAAAAGGAAAGAAACAACACTCAGACTGGGTATTAGAAGGAAAAGGACAGCTTTAATTTTATGACTTTGAAGTTTTAGCACATGGGCTTTTTTTTTTTTTTTTCAGAACCGGAGATTGAACTCAGGCCCTTGCGCTTGCCAGGTAAGTGCTTATTCTATTGAGCCATCTCCCTGGCACAGCACATGGGCTTTTAAAGTTTTAGCACACGGGCTTGAAAATAACAACAAATGAAAAGATAAATGTTATTAGAACTGCTGTTTGCATTTCTATTCAGTGGATGTATTATAATAAAGCTCAGTACAGAAAAGTATGTTACAGGCTTACATGATTCCAACAACAGAAAGACCTACCTTCTGTGTATCAATATCTTGTCTCATGACTCCCATTTCTTTGCTTATCTTTTCTTTCTGTTTGTCATATTCACTTAGTTGAGCTATTACTGCATTAAGTTCAGTTTCTTTTTGCTACAAAGAAAGAAAATTCTTGAAGCACTCGAAATGAAAATATAACTAAATAAATGATTTTTAAGTTTTAAATTACCTTCTTATAATCATCTTTTCCATCTCGAACATAATTCTCAATGTCCTTTATATAGCCATGAATATTTTTAACTTTCTCTTTGAGATCGTTCAGCTGTGGAAAAAATATTTATTGAACTTACAATGGTTGGGACCAGGGTATTTAACAGAATACAGAGAAACACTGGCTTGAAAGGATATCTTTGGTTCTAGTTTCTGCACTACCCAATATGATCTCAGGTAAATTCCTTTATTGCCAATGAGAATGAATCCAATAGTCTTGATTCCTAACTTCTGTTTTTAAATTATAAGGTAAAATATTTTAAGTTTGATCCTTATTTAATCCAAGAACTTGTAATGTCAAAATTTCTGGAAGAGTAAGGGCTGAAAATGTAACTTAGCAGTAGGGTGTTTGCCTAGCATGGGCAAGGCTTGAATCAATCCCCAGCACCATTAAAAAGAAAAATAGAATTATATCGTGAATCTGAAAAATACTATTTATCTTAAACTATTTAATTTCATATGAGATAATAGTACCATAACTTTAATATGGATTTGAAAAACAAGTGAAATCTTACTTTATCCTGTGCTATTTTGCTGCTTTCATGTTTTTTGTTGGCTAAGTCTTCTTTTTCCTGTTGGAACCTTTCCAGTGTTGTTTCCAAAGGATTGATTTGCTCTTTAGCATCCTAAAAATATAAGAAGACATAACATCTTACATAATATCGCATTATCTTTTTTTGTTTTCTGAAACAGGGTCTTGCTATGTAGTCCAGGCTGGCCTTGAACTCACAGCAATCCTCCTGCTTCACCCTCCTGAGTGCTGGGGTTACAGGTATGCATAGCCCTGCCCAGCTCCTGCGATCTTATTTTAGGTGGCCGACTTCAGTCTTAACAATAAAGGTACCTTCTATGTGCCACGCTTAAGATCAACTCATTTTTTCCTTCTCTTCACCCCGAGAAGAAGAGCTGCAGTCAGGGCTTATAAGGGAAACAATGCAGGATACACAATTTGTAGGACTGTTTCTAAGAGTCACCCAAAGAGTCATATGCAGAGTGCAGGAAATCTGACCATACACTAAAGACCAAAAGAATCCAGCTAAGGGCTTGGATCCCATGACAATGTCCTGTATGTCCAGCTAAAGACCTACACCCTACCACAATGTCCCCACAATTCCAACTGGCCGAGGGCTCATGACAATGTCCCATGCAAATCTGCTTCACGGATTTGTGCTGTGAAGGCCCGAAGGTCAGTGGTAGAAGCTAGAAAGTCCATCCAGTGGGACGAAGGGTCTGTGAGAGCAGGCTGAGGAATCTGCACTGGAGCCAGGAAGCAGTGCTCAAGGTGAGCGCCAGAGCTCCCCAGAAAGGTACCACAGCCATCCTCAGCAACAGTGAGGGCCCAAGCTTCTCTGACCATGAAAGCAGCTGAGTCGGGGGCCGGGGAGATGGCTCAGTGGAAGAAGTGCTTGCCTGGAAGCACAAGGGCCTGAGTTCAACCCCCAGTTCCCCCAAAAAAAAAAAAAAAAGAAAGAAAGAAAGAAAACAGCTGAGTCTATATAAGAAAGCCTGCGTGACAAGCTTCTCCAGGACACTGAACAGTGCACAATCTTCCTCTCTGGAGCCAGCAGGCTGAGGAATCTACACTGGAGGTAGTACGCAAAGCTCAAAGTAAAGCCCAGAGCTCCTCATTCCCAGTGATAGTCACCTTCATAGCAGGAAAGCCAGCATGACCAGCTCCTCCAGGAGAACCAACAGCCCCCTTCTTCTCTAGTTCTTTTTTATTTTGTTGGCAATAATCCTCAGGTGGGCCTCCCACACTCAGTACCCCACTAGTTCAGTTCGGTATTACAAGTTGGCCACTAGTTGCCAATCTACCACAGGCAGGTACCATAATTTTCATCCCAATATTTCAGAATAGCAAATAAGCACAGAGAATAACTGTTCTCAGGTCATGATAAAAATAAAGGAAGAAGTCAAGATTTTAACCCTGTTGAGCATGTAACACTGCATCAGTCACTGACTTGGTTCTTACTCTAGGCCATGTGTTTCCAGTTACATTGCCACAACTGGAGTGTCAATGTAAGCTGAGTGACCAAAGAATAAGAAAGTCCATCTAACCCAGGATTCTCCTTTACATGAGTACAATGGTTAGAAAAAAAGCATCTGAACTGAAGTTTAGTCTGTTAAGCAGTTATTTCCCAACAATAGAAACAGCACTACTTAGACGCTGATGTGACCCCCCCCCCCATTTGGGAAAGAAAGGGGCTTCCAGGTCACATTCTTCAGCCTTGTATCCTCTCTACAATACATTTACATGATAACTACTGTTCAATGATCATGAAGAACCTTAAGGTTCTAAAATAGCTATTGAGTCTGTAAAGGTAGACACAATTCTTTTTTTTCCATAATTTTATTGAGAAATAACAATGCACAATTCTTTAGTATTGCTTCAAAGTAGGTGAATTTTCTAATACTACTATGTGATGTGTGGTGTGAAGCCAAATGTCTTCAGTGCTAGAGACCTATCTGAAAAATCAACCCTGTCTCTTACTAGGTATATGAACTTGGGCAACTCAGGGGGCTTTTCTAAATTTCGTTTTTCTTTTTTGGCAGAACTGGGGATTGAACTCAGGCCCTTACGCTTATTCTACTGAGCCATCTCCCCGTCCCCTGTAAATTTCATTTTCCTATGAAAAGGAGATTTAGTCATTTCTCCCAACAAGATTATTGAGACACTAAATGTTTCAATGCTTAAATGATTTATAAATAATAAAAAACAGGGACCAGGGAGATGGCTCAGTAAATAAGTGTTTCCCTGGCAAGCGCACGGGCCTGAGTTCAATCCCTGGTTCTGCAAAACTAAAATTAAAAATAATAGTAATATAAATGTAGGATAATGTATTTATACACTAAGATTGATAATTTGCAATCCAGGGCCGGGGAGATGGCTCAGTAAAATAAGTGCTTCCCTGGCAAGCGCAAGGGCCTGAGTTCAATCCCCAGTTCTGCAAAAAAAAAAAAAATTATTTTAATAAAGAATTTATAGGAATTAGTGATAAACAGATTTAGTAACTTACTCAGTACTTTATAGTTGGTATAATTATATAATTAGATTAGGCTGCTGTTTCTAAAACTCTTGATGAATCTAACTGGTGTTAGATTTGATTAATCAATATAAAGCTTGGCAAATGCAGTGCAGTACACATGGCAACTCTCCCCGCTGGTCTGGCAAGGACTGAGACTATATCTGGAATTGTGTGGACACAGTGCTATGATGGAATGCGTCTGTCACGGAGAGACGCAAACTTCCCACAGGAGAAGGAATCGTTACATAAAGGGACCCAACCACCAACTGACCACGTTCAGTAACATGGAGAGCACCACTCAGCGAGGCAGCTGGCTCCTCCTTACCATGTCCAAACTTTTCCTTTCAGGAATCTTTACTTATTAGTACAAATTCTTTCACTCAGGAACCACATAAATAATTGTATTGTTTTTCATTTGATTCTCACAATAACCATAGTTCTGCCCACTATCCCAGCAAAAAGGACTTTATATATTTGAACTGATTTAAAAAACAAACATATATGAATGATCTTACTTTTATCTCTCTGTGTAAAGACTGAACTTCAGTGAATAATTCCACAGTTTGCTCCTCAAGCTGCTCATGACGTTGTAAATTAGTGGCTATCTGAAGTTTCTCTGATTTAAGTTCATTTGTTGTACTTTTTAGGTGTTGTATTTGCTCCTGCTGGTCCTGTATAAGCTTACGATTCAATTCAATCTTACTGGAAACTGCACAAAAACATTATTGACATAGTGATTATAGAAAATGCTATTAGAATCATCCTTCTAATTTTTATAGATCTATAGAATCCATAAAGGCTGAATTTCTTTTGAATCCTATCAACTGCAAAAAAAAAGGATGATAAGAGCACCAACCTTCTTGGAGCTTCCGCTTTCTGTCCCCTCCTGGCCACTCACATCAAATTTGTTGTGAAAAGCAAGAAAAGTGATACTTTTGAGAAAAGAGAAAGAATATACTATAGCTGGAAGAAGAAAGTTTTTTCTTCCAGGTATAAATTTATGGGTATAAATTTATTGTAAAAAAAAGTTACTGGCAAGAAGGAAGTCCTTAAGGGTACAATTAAGAATAGATCACATTACCTGTATCTAATTTGTGTTGTTTTTCTTGTTTTTCTTGGTTTACTTGTTGAACAGTTCGATCCAAATTTATTCCTTGTAGTTTTGCTTTTTGTTGTGCAATTTTTCTTTCAACATCTTTAAGTTCCATCTTAACAACAGAATAGTTATTTCCTCTAAGAAACTTACTGAACTATGGTAACCCAAGTTTTTAAACAAAATTAAATAGAATGAAAGTAAAATTCATTTTTAGTAATTCAAGTGTGAGTTAGGGTTACAAGAGAGATAGACGGGAAGGGGAGGCGAAAGAAATTAAGTTTGCTACGCACATGCATCAACTCCACATGATGACTGTAATCACTAGGTATCACAAACAGGTACTAATGTTTTTTAAAGTGAGACTAATGAAAGTGGATGAAAAATAAGAAACAGAATTATGTAATTTCCAAAATTGATAAAGAAAAATGTAATCCCAGATGCTCCTTGAAGCTACCTGTACATGAAAACTAGCTTAATACTCTCATCTCACATTCAAGTCATCATGCAACAAGTTATATTCCGCCTTAAGCTACAATAAACTTACCTGAAGCCTCTCCATAATTGTAACATCTGTCAGACATACTTTGGCACTTTCTTCTTCAGGCATTATGGTACCCAACAGCGTTTCCTGTTCCTCTATGTCATTTTTTAGACGCTGTATGTCTCTATTGACATTCTGCAGTTTGTTTCTTAATTCTGGTATTTCCTTCTCCTTCAAATCAATTATGTTTTGCCTTAATAAAAACCACACAATTAAAAACAATTTGGGGCTGGTGCGATGGCTCAGTGGTCTAAAGCACCTACTTAGAACAAGCTTAGCAAAGCACAGGGACCGCGGTTCGATCCCCCAGCACCACATGCCAGCCAGCCCCGCCCCCTGGTGGGCTGAGCTGGCCACACACACACACACACAAATAATTTATCTGATATTTTTCCATACTCAGACTAAGATTATATATTCTGAGCAAGAATACCACAGTAATGTTCCTTTTCTGAACATCTTATCAGTGGTACACGATATTGCACTGTCTTATTATTAGCAGTGTAAATCTTACTTTGTGAAGATAGTGTCAGGTATATTTCTCACTGTAAAGTTGCTATTGTTTTTTTGTTATTGAAAATATCTTGACAAAAGATATGTAGAGAATATGTAAATATTCTGCTTCTCAAATTTCTGCTTACTTTTCACATTAACTGGTAGAGCCTGCTTACAATGATTACCAAGCTGAAAGCTATTCTACAAAATAACTGATCATATTCATCAAAAAATGTCAAGGTCATAGAAGAAAAAAAATGGAAACATGGCTTTCACTAATAAGGAGGGGGAGGAAGAAATGGGAAAATTAGAAGGAATCAAGATTTATTATGTACAGCGGCTGGGGAGATAGCTCAGCAGTCTAAGCACCTGCCCGGCAAGCACAAGGACCCAGGTTCAATCTGCAGTACCACATGCCACGCCCATGGTGCACTCCTGTAATTCCAGCACCGGGGAAGCTGAGAGAAGAGGATCACCATGAGTCTGAGCTGCATAGCAAGACCTTGTGCCAAATTAAAAAATAAATAAAAACAGATACATTATGTACAGGTACAAATACCCTATGATTAATGTGATCATTATGTATTATCAAAAATGTACTAATAAATTTAATTTTTTAAAAAATATTAAGGTCACAAAAGATTAAAAAGACCAATAAACTGTTGCACACTTCAGAAGAAATAACAACTAGATGCAGTATTAAATTCTAGGTTGGTTATACACAATGAATTGCGTTGCACGGTCTCATCTGAGATTACTGATGTAAAAGATCTTGACTTTTTTATATTTTGAAACAAATAAAAATAGAAACATAAAAAGCTATTAAAAATAAATTCTGGGTTGGATGCAAAATGGACAGTAATGGAAAATATGCAGTTCAAGAGTAGTTTGTAATTTAGTAGCATTATATTAATGTTAATTTCCTGGTTTTGATAACAATATTATGGATACTTAGATTATTAGTATCAGGAAAAGCTGGGTGATGAGTATTTTCACAACTTTTTGTAAATTTCAAAATTATAAATTTTTAAGAAAAAAAAACTACAAAGGAAGGAAGGAAGCCAGCCACTTAGTCAAATGGTTACATGGGTTTAAAGTACAAAAGTTATTGAACTGAGAATATAGATCAGTGGCAGTGCCTGCCGGGCAAGCACAAGGTGAGTTTGATTCCTAGTACCCCAGAAAATATTATAAAGAAGTTATTCACCCTTTTTTATTGTCAATACTCTAAAACAATTACTGGGGGCTGAGGAGATAGCTCTGTAGAATAAGCACTTGTCTGGCAAGCACAAGGGCATAAGTTCAATCCCCGGTTCTGCAAAAAAAAACCTGGCTCCAGACCTATTTTTACTGAAGTAATAAATACACTATTAAAGTAATAAAACTTGTATGAGTTTTTAAAAAATTCATGGGGGGGGGCTGGCTCAGGCTGCCTTAAGGGCGGGTCTGATAAGGCATGTGGAGGTGGGGATGGAACTGCCTGTATCCTGTGCCTGACTATGTTTGCATAAACAGGCCCTTAAACAACTGATCTAACCAGCAGGCCCCCTAAACTTTTATTTGAAATTAATTTAATTTTTTTTTTTTTTTTTAGGGAAGGGTCTACAGGGTGTTCAGGTTCTCACTACTAGATTGAGTGATCCACCTGTTCACAGCCTTGCAAGAGCTGGGGTTATAGGTGTGCCACCATTCTCAATTGACATCTCAGCGCACCCCGGTGGCAGGGCCTGCTGCTGCCTTCCGCCTGCTTACTTTGCCACAAACTTTCACCTCTGCAATGCCCCTCTGACAGGCCACCCTGCCTTGGCATCAGCCTACTACAGACTGAAACCTCTACATTTCCTTCTGTAACTTGGGTGTTGGGTACGTTGTCTCAGCAATGAGAAAAGTAAGACATGGCCTTCACTACTTCCCTAGGTTTACTTTCTACAACTTTTCCATTAGGCCTTTGGGTCAGGCAAGGCTGTGACTCTGTATTGCTGGGAGTGCTCTTCTGGGCAACTACATGGCTAGCTCCTCAGTTCTCTCAGGTCTCCACTCGAGTGCTCCCTTCATCAGCACCTCCCCCTACACTATTACCCTCCAGCTACTCCTTATCCCAGTAACTACCGTCTACTCCTCCAAGGCACTGATCATCTAAGTCAACAACCACACTTTACACGGGAAACTAAGGCCCAGATGGGTCAAGTAACCTCCCTAAGGTCGCAGAGTCAAAGTTTGAAATTAGAAATTGGTGTAACAACTGTATACTTCTATTTTTCCACCCTAGGGGAAAAAAGTCCCCTTAGTTTATTACTGACCTTTCATTTGTGGATACCCCCCTCCCCCGCCCAACCAGGGATTGAACTCAGTAGGGAAGAGCTTATTTTACTGAGCCATCTTTCCCGGCCCCCAAAGGATTTTTTTTTTTTTTTTTTTGTGGCTCAGGATGCCTGATGGGCAGGTCTGGTAAAGCAGGTAGAGCCAGAGATTGAACTACGGAATCCTGCTCCTGACTGTCTTTGCATGAGCAGGGGCTTAAATAACTGAGCTAAGGGTAGGCCCCCTCATTTGTGGCTTTAAATGTTATAAAATATGTAAATGTACAAATGAGAGAGGACTTGTCATTTTTCCTAAATTATCTTTCTCCAGTTCATCAGGATGACTTTCTGCTAGAGCCTGGTAAAGGAAACCAAGGCCCATCATTAGCCTGCTCTTCTTGGGCTCACTTGTGATTCTTTTAGTGGAAAATGTTCCACCATACACAGGTCCTCCCTTAGCAATCAGGGCTTCCTCTACAGCTTTCCTAGCCTTAGCTTTCCTTCATGAGCACAGTGGCACACAATGCTACTGTGGACCTACAGTTGCTGATTAAGGCCAGCCACAGGCCCTCCATCCTCCCAGCATGAGGTCAGAGGTCTCTCATTTGAGTCTCAGCAGGCTCTGTGACTGTTGTCACCAACAGAAGAAGACAGACATTTCTGGGCTAGGGAGACAGCTTGCCAGTTTAAGTACCTGCCTGCCAAGCACAAGGACATGGGTCAGATTTCTGGTACCGCGTGCCATGCCAGCCCTGTGCTGTGTCAGCTGAAACCAGGCATGGTGGTACACACCTGTAATCCCAGCACTGGAGAGGCTGAGACAGGATGATCACTATGAGCCTGAGCTGTGTAGCAAAACCCTGTACCAAATAAATAAATAAAAATATTCTTAACACATGGGGAAAAAACACTCTCTCAGGCTTTCACAGAGAGCACATTGGCCAAGCAATGGCCGTGACTCATCCACGTGGGTGACACTGACAAAGGTTCTACAATCTGAGGTACAGGATCTCAGGATAAATCCTGAGGGCATTTCACTGACCTTCTCAGACCAAAAAGCTACAACTCTTGTTGCACAGGTCCTGCTTTACCTTGGTCTTAACCATCCAGTAGAAAAGTATGAAGACGAAATATAGGAAGTAAAGCCATGTTGTTAAGTTGAGCTGTGGGGGACTCAGGTCAATAATTTCTGACATTGCCAGTTAAACAGAAGACCCAATGCTATTATGGGCTACTGGACTCTTTTAGAATATTTTGCTTAGTTTACACACCTATAATATTCAATAATGGAACTTAGAAAAAATGGGGTATACCGATGAATGTCCATTTTGTATCTGTGTATTCAAAGTGGTTGGGATAGATATATAGTTGTATTCTCTTAATGAATAGAATGATTTGTTCTAATGGTGTTTGTAAATAGGATCTCAAGTCCGCATCTTGTACAGCAATTAACCACTAAGAAGAATATACGCAGTGTGTTATTTGTTGAATCTGTACTTCCAATTTGATTTGAAACTGTCTCACTGCTATTTATTTATCAATAAAATTTTGAAAAAAAAAAAAAAAAAGATTTTTAAAAAGATGTTTCCACTGTGCAGTTGCTAGGCCCAGGCCCTGAGAGCTTTCAGCAGCTTCCACATCCTCTTGAAATCCAACTTCTCTGCTTCCAGAAAGCAAGACTCACACGGATATCATGCAAATGCACCCTGCTTGACAGCCCCAGCAGCTCTGAGGAAACCGCGCATACTCAACAGCCAGCCCTGGTAACCCTCGAGATGGCTGTATGCAATCTCAGATTGCAGCTACCTCAAAGTCCTAGGTGAAAGCCACCCAGGTACCCACAGAACTGTGGAACACAATCAACTGCTGGTGTGAGACACAGGCTTTCAGTGGTTTGTTAAACACAATAAATAAAACAGACACTCAGTTCTCCTTTGATTAGCAAATAGTTACCAAAGTCCAAAGAACAAGAAACTGAGGAGACACAACGTGTTGGAAGTGCTCTGCTCTGAGAAGGGGGGCTGCAACGGCAAGGTCCTAACCAAGCCCTGCACCAATGCTCGCGACTAGGACATTTTCCTTCCACGTGCTCTTTCTATTAACTTTATGTTTTATCTAATTTTTGATCATTTCATTTCAAGATATTACCTTATTACTCTATTTCCTTTCCATTTTCAAACTAGTGCTCTATCTTATCACATTCTTTCTGTTGCCCCAACTATCTTGGTTTTTATTCTCGATGTTTTGTTAGTTATCTACTGTTACATAACAAAATAACCCCAAAGATAGCAGCTTAACACAAGAGCATTTATTTCTCAGATCTTAAGACAGGGAGATCGGCTTCTGATGCACTGTCTCTGATAGAAGTGCAGACCAGCCGTCAGCGGGGCTGGGATAATCTCAAGGCTGACTGCTATAAACTGCTTCTACACCCCCTTATTCAAAGGCCTCAGCCCCTCATCAGGTGGGCCTCCACCACACAGGGCTGCTCACAACACAGCACTTAGATCTTCCCAATTAGGGTAGGGGAGATAGCTCAGTGACATAAGCGCCTGCCTGGCAAGTGCAAGGTCCTGAGTTCAATCTCTGGTACCGCAAAAGAGAGAGAGAAAGAGATCCTCCTGGCCTCCTGGACTGGATGGAGGGGAGTCACAGTACCTTAGATTACCAAGTCCTAGAAGAAACTTGCTATCACTCTTGTCCTATTTTATTGGTTACTATGGACTGTAGCACTTGTGTGCCTCCCTCATCCCTACACATTAAGTAAAGCTAAGGCAACCATACAAGAGGAGACTAGACATGAGCATAAGAATACCAGGAGGCAGGGGCTGGCAGGATAGCTCATTTTGTCTAAAGCGCCTGCTTGGACAAACTCAAGTCAGGTGCTGCAGGGGACCATGGTTGGATCCCCAGCACCACATGCCACCCCAGATCTGCCCTTAAGGTGGGCCTAGACAGCCAAAAAAAAAAAAAGTATCAGGAGGCAGAGTCCACAAGGACACATTAGGACCTAGCTGCCATAAAGCACATAGTAAAACTTTCCTTTTCCTTTTTCCGAGATTTTTCTTTGATTTCCTAGACAACATGCTCTCTTAGCTTTTCTACTTCTACAGATTTTCTCACTCAAATCTACCCAGTGTTATTAATATAATATTAATTTTCCTACATCATTCATTAAATCCTTTACAATGGCTCCCTATCATCTGTAAGAGTTATCATGAGGCCTGAACATTATGTAACCCTAGTTTTCAATTTGAGAGAATCAAACAATCCCTACAATCTATCCCCCAAACTGTAGGTAACACTTCAGCTCAGCAGATGCCACACACCCCTTCCCAGGGCACAAACTTCTGTTTTGCTTCTCCCTGTCCTTCTTTTACCTGAGGTGAACCAACTTCTCTAGGCTTTATTTTCCCTTTTCCTCATCATCCTCAAAACTTTTTTTTTTACATTCTGGACTCACTAGCTTTTCTCTTAAATAATGCATTTGTTTGAACCATTTTTGAACACTAGTAAAACCACCTAACTCATTCTGAGAGGGTTTCTTTGTAATCAGCCCATCCTCGTAGCTAACTAGCTCCTGGTGGGTCGTGTCTTAACCATCTCCATGCTCTATGCTCCAGGAGCCACAGAGAAACCATTGCATACAAATAAGAGTTTAAAATTTAGTTTAGGGAAGAGCTTTTAAGTAATTTTTCCCCCTGTACTCAGGGCAGGGTCTACAGGGTGTTCAGGGTTTCACTAGGTAGATAGGACTCACAGTGATTCTCCTGTTTACAGCCTCCCAAGTGCTGGTAGTACAGGGGCGCACCACCATGCCCAGTCTCAATTGCTGTCTTAGCCCTGGGAGCAGGGCCCGCACGGCACACCAAGGATTGAACCCGGCCTCTGCACTCTGCCTAAGCAGGTGCTTCGGTCCGCTGAGCTATCAGGTTGGCCCTGCTGTTAAGTATTCTACTTCTTTTGCTGGATTAAGAAAGTGACTTTATCGGGGCCAGGGAGATGGCTCAATAGAATAAGTGCTTGCCTGGCAAGCGCAAGGGTCTGAGTTCAAACCCCGGTTCTACCAAAAAAAAAAACCAAAAAACAAAAAACAGAGAGAGCAAGTGACTTTATCAACAAACAGTTCTATATATCTGTCAAAATTTATATTCCCTCAAGCCAAGTCTTTCACACACACACAAACTTCTTGACTAGTTTAAGAAATAAGTTTAGGGGAGCTGACTGGAGTCAAATTCAAGTCATGCAGTTTGTAAGAAATGCGAGGGCTTTCATTCTGCAGTCATGGACTCAGCCCCTGACGACCAGGGTTGTGGCTGCAGTCCCAACCCGACCATCCACACGGGCACCCAGGAGATGCAAGAAGTGGCGGCCAAACCAGAAATTGAGAAGGAACCTCCGAGTCACAGAAAATTCAGCATTTTCCCTCCAGTTCCAGAAGAGAGCTCTCTGTGATGGGCAGGGAAGAAATTTGAAGAGGTCCCAGTTGCACATGTTAAAGCAACCTACAACACACATATCCAGGTGGTCTCCTCCACCATCGTGTCCCTGGCCCGAACTTCCACTGCGGCACGGAAGGGTTTCGGAATGCCAAGAAGGGCACGGGCATCGCAGTGCAGACGGCAGGCATAGCCGCAGTGGCGAAAGCGACAGTGAAGGGCGTGACACACGTCCGAGTTGTAGTGAAAGGCCGAGGCCCCAGGCACTGGTCTGCCATCAAGGGCCTGACCATGGGTGGCCTGGAAGTGAGCTCACACACAACACCCCTCACCCACACAACAGCTGCCGCCCCAGGAAGGCCCGGAAGCTGTGATAGGAAGGAAACCTGCCCTGGGACCTGACCCCAGCGCTCACCTCCTACCCTCGGAGAGCTCACTGGCAGAGCAACTCCCACAAAAGTGCTCAGTGGAGAGCTGTGTGAACCCCAAAGGTGCTCCTCACTGCAGCTTTGCCTGTGCCTCCCAGCAGAGATGGATGAGCCACAAGCCACACCATGCCTCTAGATACAGTGGGAGCTATGGGGACAGAAGGGGCCTGGGTTCCAGCCTCTGCTCTGTGGAAATAAAGAACTCTATGACTGTCTGTAAAAAAAAAAAAAAAAAAAGAAACAAGTTTAGCTAGTCTGCTTACTTATTCTTTTATTTTCATTTGAGACAGGGTCTCACAATATAGTTCAGGCTGGCCTTGAACTCACTTTGTAGCCCAGGCTGGTATCGAACTTGAAAGCATCTGCCTGCTTCAGCCTCCTGAGTACTGGGATTACAGGCATGTGACACAACACCTGGCATTTGATTTTTTGAGCAATGGGGATACCGCTCAGTGGCACAAACATTTGCCTGGCAGATGCAAGGTCCTGAGTTCAATTCCTAGTATAAAAAAAATAATAATAGTATTTGGTTTTTTGAGACAGGGCCTCACTTTATAGTACAGCCTGGCCTTGAGCAAGCAGTGATCCTCTTGCCTCAGCCTCCCAAGTGCTGGACGACAGACCTGTGCCATCACGCCAAACTACAAGCTTAGCTTTACACTGAACTATTGATTCTACTATCTTGGATGTATTGTAAAATAGAATATACTAATTCAGAGTATAAAAACTCTTGACTTCAATGTTTATTCTTTCAACATATCCTTACTAAGCATTTACCACAGGCCAGGGACTCTCTGAGTATCTTTACAACACAGCCACTGCATGTATAGTAATGATAACCCCTGTTCTCACCTCATGGGCAGAAGCCCCAGCATTTCATCTCGACGCTTTTCTTTTTTCTTCAGCTCTAACTCTGTTGACTTGAGTTTATCTGGAGCAAGCCGCAGCTTAGACTGCAAATCGCTGATGACTTCTTGTAATTCAGCCTCTGTCTGAAAACCTCTCTGACAGACAGGGCAACACGACTGGTTTTCATCTGTTAGCTGAGTAATGAACTGAGAGTAAACTGCAGTGGCTCCAGCCAGCATAGCTATTTTAGGAAAATCAATAAGGATCCAGTGAGAAAAATGTACAACTTTTCTAATTCTATAATTGTTCTTGCTTTTCAAACCTATAAACATGAAATAAAAATTCTCTCACATTTAGGACTTCTTCCAAAGGCCGTAACATATTCAGACCTGCATAAACTATTTTAACACACAGAACATGTAACAACTACTGAAATATTTCTTTCTTTTGTTTTGCTGTACTGGGGATTGAACTTAGGACACTGCTCTTGCCAGTCAAGTGTTTATTCTAATGAGCTATCTCCCCTGCCCTACTGAAAGATTTCTATATGCCAGGAATTACTTTCAAGACTTTACTTATAATCCTATTTATGCCTCTTTAATATCCTAGATCAATCACTTCTCGGCCTTTTGGCTAAGATCAAGTGTAATAGCCTAGATCAATAATGGTGAACCTTTTAGAGCTTTCAATGACAAACTTCATTTGAGGAACTGAGACACGCAAGCCATAGGCTCTCCACCAATGCCCTGGATGGAAGGTAGTTCTTTACTTTGCAGACAATGAATGTGAAACACAGGAAGATATCAACATACTGTGCAAAATCACAAAGAAGTACGCTATAGCTACTGTTAAATGCCAACGAATTTTGGCTCCATATCAAGGTATTTAAATCTCCAACCCTTAATGGCTATCTGTAAATGAAAATTCCAAGGTGTCAATGTGCTTTAGTAAGACAAAACTGGTAGCATACCTCGCTGTTTTGAAGATTTTTCAATATCCTCTTTAAGCCTGTCTAAATCGATTTCAAAATCCTGACTACCACAAACATCAAATAGTTTGTCTTCATAAGTGGACAGCTGCTCTTCCTTTCTTTTTAGTTCATTACTTATATGATTTTTATTTTGCTCAGCTGATGCTAGTTCCTTGCTAAAAGAAAAACAAGTGTTAATTATAATCAAACTTCAATATTCTTTTCTTAAAATCTTTTATTCATTTATTTGGTACAGGGTCTTACTATGCAACTCAGAATCATAGTGATCCTCCTGTCTCAGCCTCCCCAGCACTGGGATTACAGGCATGCACCACCACACCCTGTTCTGGTGGCTGGCACAGTGCACTCAGGGTTCTGGGCTGGCATGGCTACTAGGGATCAAACCTGGTCCTTGCATTTGCCAGGCAGGTGCTTAGACTGCAGAGTTATTTCTCCAATCCCCAAACTTCAATATTCTATGTAAAATTTTTGACCCTCTTATCCAACTACCATCTAAGATTACATCTGATAAAAATGATCTTTTTTTTTATAATGGGTTAATAGAAATGCAAAGAAAATTTCAGCTTTTTAAATTTCAGAATTTTATTTTATTTATTTATTTATTTATTTATTTTTTTGCGGAACCGGGGATTGAACTCAGGCCCTTGCGCTTGGCAAGGAAGTGCTAATTCTAATGAGCCATCTCCCTAGCCCCAAATTTCAGAATTTTAATGCTTTTACTAACATCTACATATTTCCAAAGGAGAGAAGACCCAGTCAACACTAATTACCATTTTACCTAACTTGCAAAAAGTAGGCCAATTAATATAACATGCCATTTCATGACAATACATTACTTAAAACAATAAAAGATAAAAGCATGAAGTTAACGGATTTCTATTACCATAGTAATGTTGCAACTACTTACTTCAATTTGGCAAGTCTATCCCTGGTCTGATTAATTTCTTTTGATTTACTATGGAGCCAGTCTTCAAGCTGTTTTTTGTTGGGAAAGTACCCCAACAGTGAAGTTAGTTCATCACTATGCCTAGATTTTATTTTTCTGATTTGCTCATCTCTGTCAGCCTGTAGGATAAAAATAAAAACACCTTAGAAAATTAACCTTCTATCTCTACATTACATCCCCAAGCAAAAATAAATTCCAGATTGACTAAAGTTTTGACAAAAAATAAAACTACAAAAGTATAAGTAGGAGGCTGGGAACATAGCTGAGCAGCACAGTGCCTGCCTGGCAAGTGCAAGGTCCTAAGTTCAATTCCCATTACAAACAAAAAAGCAAGTGAGTAATTCTAAACCTTAAAAGATTAACAAGTCTAATATAGAAACATTTAAAACTTCCACACACTAAAAGTAAATAGCAACGGGTATGTGTGTTTAGGGATGTGTACGTCTGTATTAGTAACTTTTTTTTTTTTTTTGAGGCTGGCTCAGCCTGGGGCTGGAGTGGCATATGGTGCCAGGAATCAAACCGTGGTCCCTGAACTTTGCCTAGGCTTGCCTGAGCTTTAGACCACTTGAGCTATCTCGCCAGCCCATGTATTATTAACATTTTATAATTAAAATTAACTTTGCCAGTCATAGTGGTACAAGCCTATAATCCTTGCTACTCAGGGCTGAAGCAGGAGAATCATTTGAGCCCAGGAGTTTGAAGCCAGCTTGGGCAACAGAGCACAATCTGTATTTCAAAGGCAATAGCCAGGCGTGGTGGCACATGCCTATAATCCCAGCAGTCCAGATGCTGAGGCAGGAGGATCACTGGAGTTCAAGGCCAGCCTGGGTTACCTAGTGAGTTCAAAGCCACATGAAGAGTGAATCCCTGTCTCAATAAGACAAAACAACAATAATAAACAACTTTGAAACCTAAAAGTCTATTTTATGGTATTTAGCTCTCTTACCTTTAATACATAAAGTCAATACCAAAAAATACTTCATACTCTATTAATTACTAACTCAACATAATCAGTTTTAAATGCTCAATAGTATGATTCAAACAAAGAGAATTCATACTTTGTCTTTAGTCAGCATCTCCATCTGGGTACGGGTTGTTGTGTGATGATTTAACTGCTCCATCTCCTGGTCCAATTTACGCAAGGCCCTGTCTAGGCCTGCTTTCTCATTCTGAAGGCTTATCACTTCTGCTTTTAGGGTTTCTATATTGCTGTTTTTCTCAGCCTTGCTTAACTCATGTTCCTAGTCAAGAATTCAAACAAATGCACAAGTTTATATATTTTGTATCAGAATTAAAATAATGAAAAAATATACCAGAAATTACTCAGAATGGTCAAAATATTACTGTTTGCTTATATTTAATGAGAAGAGACATAGATGATATGTATGCTTTAAGGAAAATCTTACTAAAATTACTAGGTTATAATGGTAGAAAACTAGTAAACAAACCTAGATGGGTTTAATTAATATTTACTTAAGTTATAAAGATGGGCTTTAAGAGAGGACCTGACAAATTTTAAAAAGCTTACACTGTTGAAGAGACAGATTAGAAACAAGCAAGAGAATTGAGCAATTCTAGAAGAAATTGACTATGAATATACCACACAAAAGGGGCTGGGCAGATAGCTCAGTAGAATAAGCGTGAGCCTGAGTTCAATCCTTGGTTTTGGAAAAAAAAATATTATCAAGACAAAAACCATATGGGGACCTGCCCCTTAGCTCAGTTCTTGAAGTGGCTGCTTCAACAAAGCAGTCAGGCTCAAGTTGCTGTGCTTCGATCCCCACAACTCAAGCTAGCCAAACCTGCCCTGAAGGCACTGAGAGCAAAAACAAAAAGACAAAAACCATAAAAAAATTATACAGTGTAGACCCTAGAAGGAAAACACTTGTTTTCTTACTCAAGTATATGGTTCTTAACCAAGATGCTTGTAACAATTTCCTAGTTCTGCTCCATCTGGAACATGTATTACCATACCTTAAGAGACTGAGGTTCAGAAGATAGTGTGCTTTAGAATCTAAGCATATGTGATCTTTACAAGTTCCCCAGGTGATTTATAATTTTCAACCCACTGGGTTCTAAAACCAAAAAGTTGGGGCTGGGGAGATGGCTGCCCTGGCAAGCGCAAGGGACCGAGTTCAATCCCTGATTCCGGAAAAAAAAAAAAAAAATTGGATGATCAAGATATTCAGATAAGAGCCAGTCTGATAGCTCAGCAGACTAAAGTACCAGCTTAGGCAGGCAGAGCGCATGGACTAGGGTTTGATCCCTAGTGTGGTGTGCCATGCTGTGCCGTGCCAAGCCATCTCCACCCCAGGGGCACGCTGAGACAGGGACTGAGACTGGGCGTGGTGGCGCACGCCTGTAATCCCAGTGCTTGGAAAGCTGAAAACAGGAGGATCATTATGAGTCTGATCTACGTAGTGAGACCCTGTAGACCCTGTACTAATACATTAAAAAAAGATACTCAGCTAAGTTAATTTTATATCAAATCACATAAAAAGCAGACACTTTTGTTTATAATGATGTACAAGACCCAGGGAGACAGAGCCTTTGCAAATAAAGAGGCCCAACAGATGGAGGGAGGTTGGAGGCAGAAGGGGGAGGAAGATGCAGAAGAGAATTAAGATGTAAATACATGGGCCAACTTCCCACAATGAATGTAATCATTATGTGCAGTAAACATGTAATAAAAATAAAAATTAAAAAAAATCTTACGAGCTGCAACAGATAAAATAATTCAGAAGACAAGATTTTAAAAATCTTACACTTTACAATGATTACATGACTTAAATATCTTACAGCTTTTGTGAGCTCCCGGTTCAACTCAAGAATCCTGTCTGAAGATCCTTCCAATTGCTGCAATTCATGCTTCACGTTTTTCAGCTCATTCTGCTTCTTAGTGAGGATTTCTGATTTTAGCTCAATTATTCTTCCCAGTCCTGTTTTCTTATCCCTTATCTCATCTATTTGTTTTTGTTTCAGAGTTTCCTTTTCAGCAAAGTCATTCTGAATACATAGGTGAAAGTATTATTAATAATTTTTCACTGAACAATTCATTAAGAAAAAGTTTGTTCACTACAAAAATAACACTGTAAGTGAGGCATGGTGGAGCATGCCTATAATCCCAACACTCTGGAAGGCTGAGGAAATAGGACCCCATATCTGAGCCCAGCTGGAACAACTCAGTGGGCCGGGGATGAAGTTTCACTGCAAAGGCCCAGAGTTCAATCTCTAGTACAAAAAAAAAAAGGAAAAAAAAAAAATTATGTGTACTACAGAAAAATACTTTTATAAATGTGAAAAGTATTATCCAGAGATAACCGTTAGTAACTGTGAACAAAATTTTTGTCATTAG